GGTAGGAATGTTTGTGGTAATGACTGCATGGCAATAAACATGCCAGACTTATTAATTGTACGCTTTAAATCCTGGATAGTTGAATATATTTCAATTATCCCTCAGTAAATTGAAAAGGATGTACATTTTAGAGTGGGATGGTTTCCTTGTGGGTGACCCAGGAATATTGATCTGAAGCTTAAACGAGATAAGGTCTTAGCCCAGTGTCTGGTATTCGTACCTCTGTAGATGGCTTGCAGATTTTATTGCAATATGAGGTCCCTCCCTTTACAGACAGGGGCCTGGGGCTGGGACAGGTTCAGGACCATGCCCCAGGTCTCCCAGGGAGTTGGTGCAGGGCAGGCCAGCATTCTCAGTCTTGAGTGAGTCCCCGGCCCTGTGGCATCTTGTACTGGCCTGACCCCAAGCAGGACAAAAGGGGACAATCTCAGCCTCCAGGGACCTGGGAATCATCTGGCTGTTGGGAGCCAAGGCGACTGAGCACTGTGACTCGAGAATCCCTTATCACCTGATGTTGGGTACTTATTGAGGATGATTGACCGGCGAGCACCGTGAGTTATTGCCGCCCGCCCTGCGGCCTGTGTGTGGTTCCGCACAGCCTGCTCCTGCCCGGCGCCTTGTCCCCTGCAAGTGAATGATTCACAGCGAGTGTGAGAAGCCCCCACCGCAGGCCGCCTTAAGGGCAGGCCAAGATTCAGACATTACTCACAGCTTCCAGTACCTGCCTGAGTTCAAACAGGAAGCCTGGTTTTTCCTCTTATGTCAACAACAGCCTTTATTTCTCTCTTTACTCTGGCCTCTGGGCTGTCTTGTGGAGTGGGTTTCTTGGGGTGAAAGTCTGGGGTGACAGTGGCCTTTGGGGGCTTGCCAGCAGATGCTTGGCTAGAGCCCCTTCACCTGGGAAGGCCTGGGAGGTTGCTTTGTGCAGCAGGCTGTGAAGATGGCCTAGCTCATCCATGGCTCTGAAAACAAAGGGAGCCTATGGCCAGGCACATAGTAGGCCTTCCCTACAAGTTTGTTCAGCTGCTCTAGACTGAAATGTAATACATCCCAAACAAATGCAGCTCCTCCTAGGTTCCTGGCTCAGCAAAAATCATCTCCACCTGCTCCCCGGGGCCAGACACTGGAGGCTCCTGTCTGGCCTTCCTACTCCCTCATTCCCTACCCCAAGCAGACACCAAGTCCATCCCTCCTTTTCCCTCCGCAGTGGTCCCCCAACCCATCCTGTCCTTCCCACACTCTCTGTGATAGTCTTAGTCAAGACCCCTGGCCCCCTTCACATGATGCTGCTGCTTTCTCCTCTGTCTCACCTGGCCCTGTTCCACCCACAGGCTGCACAGCGGCAGACATCCTTCCTAGAGGCCTGAGGGACCACATCACAAATGAACCTTTTGGCTTACTATCCTTGCACAGCCTGGCGGCAAATCTAAAGTTCCTACTGTGACCTATGAGGGCCAGGGCGGCCTTCCATCTCTCAGAGCTCATCCCTGCTCCCAGAGTGCTCTGTGTGCTGAGGACACCCAGCCTCTTGGTGTTCCCTAAGTGCTTCTTACCTTGCTGGCATTCTGGGCTTTGCATGGTGCTCCAGATAGGCCCCTTCCTGGCCTTGGTCCACCCAGGGCAACAACTCTCACCCTTCAGCTGAATCTAACCCCCTTCTTCCCCATGCCCCCACTCTGCATTCCCCTTTGCCTTTCCTGAGAAATAACCAGAGTTGATTTCCTGCTGTGGATGTGTGTACAGCTTGGTTTTGCATTTGTCATCCATGTATATATCTCCAGACTCTGAGGGCAGGGGTCCAGTTTGGCTTCGTGTCCACAGGCCAGCGCAATCCTGTCCAGTCAAGGAGGGTCCGGCACGGAACAAGGCCTTGGTAGGTATGTGCTGGACAGCCATCGCCCTGTGCCTCTCACAACCTCAGGGAATGTGCCTTGGGTTTGGAAGCAGCTGGCATGTGTCAGTGACTTCCTGTCCCCAGGCTCCCTGATGCAACTTGCAATATAAGGAACACACCCTGTGGGATTGGTAATTAAGGGGCAGGGCCAAAAGGAAGGGTCTCTTTCCAGGGGAATTTCTGTGGACATTGGATGCCTTTTACGTCCTTTGTCTATAACTGGAGATCTGACCTGTTGCCAAGCTTGGAGCACTCAGATGACTTGCCTTCCATTTTTGCTGAGTTCCGAAGAAATTATTCCTAGACCCCTGGAGAAATGGCCCCCTTGGGTTGGATGGGTGCTTGGAAGGTAAAAGGAAGGCCTAGCCCTTTCTGTGCCTCAGTTTTCTCATCTGTACAGTGGGGAGTACCTGCTTCATGAGGTTATTGTGAGGATTAAATGAGTGTCTGTGCATGAAGTTTTTATACAGCAAGGTTCATGCTATCTATATATGTTAGTTTTTAAATATATATATTTAAAAAAATTGATTTCAGAGTGAGGAAAGAAGAGGGAGAGAGAGATAGAAACATCAATGATAAGAGAGAATCATCGATCGGCTGCCTCCTGCACACCTCCCATTGGGGACTGAGCCAGCAACCTGGGCATGTGCCCTGACTGGGAACTGAACCGTGACTTCCTAGTTCATGGGTCAATGCTCGACCACTGAGCCACACTGGCTGGGCTATGTCAGTCTTGATGATGATGGTGATGATGACGCCCAAGGTCCAGGGGCATCCCAGCATGGTGGGAAGTGTCCAGCCCACGGCGTGGGGAGGACAGGCCCTGTGTACATGGGGCTGAGCCTCAGATCCCTCGCTCATGAGGGACCAGCCCTGTGAGGGTAGAGGCTCCATCTGGCACACAGTAGATGCTCAGGAAGAGTCTGTAGAAAGGATTTAGAGTTTTTTATTTTTCGGACCACACCAAGGTGAAGTTTTCTCCTGTGCCAGGGAAAGAAGACTTCTCTAGACAATTGGGAGAGGAAGGAGGCTTAAGGGTGAATGCTTAATCTTTTAAAAGAAGAAACACCACAGGTGCTTATTTACAAGGGTAATGCTAATTAGTAATATTTATTACCTGGTTATAAGTCAGACCTTCCCCCAGAAATGCTAAGGTACTCACAGAGGCCCAGACTGGGCTAAGAGCAGACAGGTTACAGGTGGTCTGGAGAAGAGGGCAAGGGCACAGGTCCAAGATCCGGGGACAGTCACCATGACACCCATGTCCACAGCACGTGAGAACTATCAAATACCTATCTCCATTCACATGCTGGGAGTTCCCAGCATCAGCCCTGATTCCTTACAGGGTGGGGTAAGCATTGCTGCCTCCATGTTTCTCTTTAAAACTCCAAGTGCTCTTGGGAAAGGGTCGTCCCACTGCTGAGCGATAGGGGTGGGTTTGGGAGAACCCATGGGTTCGATTCCTGGTCAAGGGCACACACTTGGGTTGCAGAGTTTTTTTTGGTTTTGTTTTGTTTGTTTGTTTTTATATGTTTTTTATTGATTTCAGAGAGAAAGGGAAGTGGAAGGGAAAGGGAGAGAGAGATAGAAACATCAATGATGAGAGTCATTGATCGGCTGCCTCCTGCACGCCCCTGACTGGGGATCGAGCCCGCAACCTGGGCATGTGCCCTGACGGGGAATCGAATCGTGATGTCCTGGTTCATGGGTCGACGCTCAACCGCTGAGCCATGCTGGCCAGGCTGGGTTGCAGGTTTGATCTCCAGCCTGGTCAGGGTGCCAGGGTCGAGTGGGGGAGGCAACCAATCTATGTGTCTCTCTCCCATGGGTGTTTCTTTCTCTCTCACTCTCTCCCCCTCCCTCCATTCCACTCTGAAAATCAATGGAAAAAAATATCCTCAGGTGAGGATTAGCAATGACAACAACAACAAAAAATAACAACAGCCAACATAACGAGAGCTGTCTGGTGCGAATGAACCAAAATTATACTACTTTTTTGTCCAATAGGCAAAAAATATAGTTTTTGGTGTGCTGCAGAATTTTAGAAATTAGTTTTTGTGTGCCATGAGATGAAAAGGGTTGAAAATCGCTGCCCTACGGGTTAGGTTGACCTGACCTGACCGGACTAGCAGCCCCTCAGGCAACAAAACCTCCTGCCTTCCCTTGTGCTGTGTATTGCTTCTTAGGGTGACTGGTGCTCCAACTCCCACCAGACCCTGTGCCTGCCTCCAGGTTTTAGGACACCCCCACCCCAGCATGCTTGCTTCTTAATTTAAGTTTCTTTTTCAAATTAGATTTCATTTCCATTTTTTTATTCGTTCTTTAAACTTGACTTTTAATGATGTAAACAATACAGGTATTGGGGGAAAATCAACAGCCTGGTTAAAGCTAGAGCTCTCTCATGCCCCCCCCCTCCCCCCCGGGGTATCAGCTGGGTGGGTCTTCTTCCAGTCTTTTTTCCATGCCTTTTCATTTATATGTATGTGGATACAAGGAGAGATAGTTTTGTTTGGTGCATATATTTCTTTTTACATAAATCTGAGTTCTAGCTATCATTTAGCAACTTCCTTTATCACTTAATGGTGCACATCTTGGAAATCTTTGCACATCAATGTATGAAAACTCCCCTTCTTTTCTTTTTGACCATAAAATAAAAATCTATATTTTTATATTGGGGGGTGGAGAGTAGAAAAGAAAGCAGCCTTATACTGGGCCCTACTCAGTGGCAGCTTCTTGTTCCATAGGGTTCAGGAAGACTTTGAGGAAATAAACGTTGTTTGGGCCCGGCTGGGAGTGGCTTAGTGGTTGAGCATCAACCTAGGTTGGAGGAGATCAAGATTCGATTCCCGGTCTGGGGCGTGCAGGAGGCGGCCGATCAATGACTCTCATCATTGATGTTTCTATCTCTCTCCTCCCTTCCTCTCTCTGACATTAATAAAGATATATTAAAAATAAAATAAAATAAATGTTGTTTGGAAAAACCCAGGTGTAGTTGCTTTACGTGCTGTGCTGGGTAGAAGGGATGAAATGAAGTGTGAAGGTCCCCTACACCCTTCATCTTGCCTCAGACCATGTCCTGGAGCCCTGGGATGGAGAAAGGCCACATTTATTCCTGCTTCTTGGGATTGTTGACAGCCACATGGTGATAGACAACGACAGGCAAGAAGAGCAACACCCCCAATGTGTTGTCAAAGGTGGCAAGTTGCACGTCTGTCATCTTCGTGATGAGCTGGGCTCGGCTCCTTCACGGCCTGCGCACTAGCTCAGGGTAGGAGCCCACCTTGTTCTTTTTGATGATTGCATAGTACTCCCAAGTATACACTCCCACAGATCATTATTCATTCTCTCATCGATGGACATCCATTCACATTGTTTCCAGAGTGTCACCAACACAAGCAAATCCTTGCAGGTGACTCTCAGCCTAGCTCAACTCAAGGATAGCTGTTTTGGTTGGTAATGAGGTCTCCTTCAGAGGAGATATTCAAGCAAAAGGTGAAATAATGTCTTCCTTACCTCAGAACACTGATGCTTACTCTTCAGTGCATCTGAGAATGACCTGGAAAGCTTTTAAAGCTTCAGGTTGCTGGGCCAAATGCCTGGAGTTTCTGATTCAGGAGGGCTGGTGTGGGCCTGAGAATTTGCATTTCTAACAAGTTCCCAGGTGAGGCTGCTGGTTCAGGGACCTTACTTTGAGAATCACTGTTCAGCTTCCACTTACCTGAAGGGTCACCTCACCCTCGGGAGACAATGTTCAGGAGAATTCACCCTGGGCTCCTCCCTCTGCTCAAGAGTGGGTGTTCTGGCATACTGCTGGGAGGTAGGACCCTACAGGCCACTGGTAGTGGGTCCAGAGGTCTGGCTAGCTAGGATGTCCCACAGATATTCCAGCTGGGCCTGGAAGTCAGGGACCTTTTGACTCTAGACATAGCCTGCAAGATCAGCTTTTTCTGGGCACTAACTGCCCACCCCTACGCCTCCCCAGATCTTCCCTGTGGAGCCCAAGGACAAGCTCTGAGCTGCTTACACCGTGTGGTTGGGAAGTGCTCTGAGGTTTTCATAAAAGAAACGACAGGAGACCACATCCCCAGAGAGGGGCTTTGAAAGGTCTGGAGCCTTCAGGACCCTGAGGCACTCTTTGTTCCCAGCTGGATTGCAGGAGGTTACACTGGGGTTGGGGGAGAGCATGTCTGGGGTGGGAGTGTGGGAACCTGGAGCCTGGACCTCTGGAACTAAAAATCATGCCCCCTTCACGGGCCTTCCTGGTGGCTCTGAGGGACACTTCTGTACCGAGGAAGGTCCAGTTACAGACTGAGGGTGAGACCCCAGTGGACATTTTGTCAGTGCCTCCTCCCAGAGCTGAATTTTGATACCTTGCAGCTCACCAGTTCCTTGCCCTTTAACCCCCCTAAGGTGCTGGCCATGAACCTTAGTGACCTTGATGGCAGAAGGCAGCACCCTCTGGACTGCTGGCTTCTTTGTTGCAGTGTCAGAAGGGAAGAGGGAGGAAGTCTCAAGGGCCAGGCCACAATCTGCGGGAGGGATGGGGGTGCCTTTGGTGCTCAGGAGAACTGCTCCCGGCCCCTCTCCTTCAGTGAGGACAGTTTGGATCCAGCTCTAATCTGGTGCAGAAGTGTTTGAAGCTGGTGTGCCTTTCCTTTTGGGTTATGCTAAAGCCTTGAATGTCTTATCTGACTTTTCANGTTATGCTAAAGCCTTTAATGTCTTATCTGACTTTTCATGGTTGTGATCTCAGCACCCAGCATATAGTGAGAATCTAATAGACCCTTGTTGAATAAATGAAAAATGAACAAACAAATATCTTAGAAGGTGTCTTCGAGATGGGCCGGGCCTGCTCCCTGCCTGGGCCTGGAGGCTAGACCCTGGGACCAGCTACTCAGCCATTTGAGGCGCTTTCTGCACCGCCTCCCGCGGCGGGGTGCTGGGTCCCACCACCAGGACCACCCTCTGCACAACCT